GGCTTTGGTGGTGGGGGGGGGCCAGACCTCTAGGTGCATTTGCTTACGTCATGCTTACCAATGTATTTGGTGAGGTAGTAACGACATATGACAGCGTTTCTCAAACTGTGGGGCACGCCTCTTTAGAAGGGCTTTATATCCCTATGTAGGGGGAGTGAGCTTATTAAAAGGTCAAAAATGAAAGATTTAAAATAAGTATTAGTTTTTACTAAAAGGAAGCAAAATAAAATACATTCGAATATATGTATAGACTGATATATTGGGTTGGAGGGAAAGTTCTGTCGTATTTTAATTAGGCAGGTGGTTTTTGTTGTAAATAAAAAAAACATCTGGCTAGTGAGTCATTTGGATTTTTTTTTGTTTCTTTAGCTGCTGTATAATATAAAAGGAGTCATTTTTTACCGTTCATCATTTACTAGTAATATTTAAAGTGAAAAACATGTCAATAGATAAAGTGCATTTACGACACTGCATTTTGTATGAATTCCAAAAAGGAAGCAACGCATTGGTTGCATGTAAAAATTTATGTGTGATATATGGAAAAGATATTGTAAATGTTCGCACTTGTCTAGATGGTTTAGCAAATTTCGTTACGGGGATCTGAGCCTCCAAAAAAGTGATCAATCTGGATGACCATCTAAGATCGATAATGATGTTTTGCGATCCATGTTGGAAAATAATCCACATTTAACAAGTTAGGAAATTGCAGAAGAGTTTGGCATTCATCATACAATTGTAGATCACATTAAATCTCTTGGTTTTGTGTTAAAGCGAAGTGTTTGGATTCCACATGAATTAACAGAAAAGAATTTTTCTGATCGTGTAAGAATGTGTTCATCACATCTGATTAGACACAATGTGGAGCCGGTTTTGGACCAGCTGATTACTGGAGGTGTAAAGTGCATTCTTTACGAGAATATTAAGAGAAAAAAAATCTTACTGCAAACCAGAAACATCATCAGCAACAGTTCCAAAACCAAGTATCCATCAACGAAAAGTACTGCTTTGTTTGTGGTGGGACAGGAAAGGTCCAGTGTCCTATGAGTTGTTGAAACAGGGTAAAACCATCAACGCGGATCTGTACTGCAATCAACTGGATAAACTGAATGCAGCTATCAAAGAAAAAGGGTCAGCATTAGTGTCCAGAAAAGGAACAGTGTTCCACCACGATAATGCTCGACAGCATACTGCAATGGTGACACAACAAAAACTGAATGCGTTAGGATGGGAAGTCCTTGGTCACCCACCATATTCACCTGACATTGCACCATCTGATTATTACCTGTTCAGATCTCTGCAAAATTATCTAATGGAAAAAAATTCAAGTCTTTTGAAAGTGTTTCTAAGGTAGTTGCTGACTATTTTAACTCCAAGTAAGAGAATTTCTACAAAATAGGAATTTATATGTTACCTGAAAGATGGCAACAAGTAGTAACAATTAATGGAGCATATATAATTGATTAATATTAAACACATATTTTTATAAATGCATTCAAATATTTTCTTTAAAATACGACAGAACTTTCCCTCCATAATACATTTATAAATGTATCAGTACTGCACAATATTTTTGATAGTTTGTTCATCAATACTGAATTAAAAACTAGTTTAATAATTATTATTACCTTCTACGGGCTTGTCATATACAAAATTTAATGTTTATCTTGACAATATGTGTGGTTTATAATTAAAGATGTACTGTAGCTTTAGCATCAAAGTACTTTTTTGTCGCATTCGATACATTGTTATTGTATGGGGTGGGGGGAAGGCGCTACGAAAATTTTGATTGAAAATTGTGTCGCAAATATTGAAAATTTGAGAAACACTGATATATATGAGAAGTAAAATTTATATAAAAGGAATGTATGTTTAAGAAAAGAATTAAGAATCTTTTTATGAAGAAAAACCGAATAAATTTCTTCTACGAAATCCACTCTCTTTAAGAAAAAAAAAGCTTGTTTCAAGAATATTAAAATAACAAGGCATTATAAACGAATTATGTTACTTATTTATCAGCGATTCGGTTTAAAAAAGAGTATGAACATCAAACGTTTTACTGAAAATTTTAAATTTGCTTTCATAGTAACACGTTGTATTTTTCTCTGTTCCAAATGAGGTTCTATGTGGAGAAGTTTCATTACTTTTACTGTTGAATTAAAATAATTGAGTGTTAATTTAAATTTAGGAGAGTAGATTAATTTTTTGAAAAATAAGAGGAATTAGTTGAAAAAGACTAGGTATTAATCCATTTCCATTTTCCTTTCCTTTTAACTAAAAAACCGAATCAAAGGTTCGATAAGTTATTCTGTGATCTTCTTTTTCTTGTAAAAAAAAGAATTATCGAATCCCTTTCAAGTGTTCCAAGAATCTTGGAACAGCAATTTTTTTAGACCAAGAAGATTCAGTCGCGTAATTTTTTTTTTTAAAATTTTACTTATTTCCTATTGTCTAGTACATGTACTAATCAGCCCTTATATAAGACTTATTAGTTTGAAAAAGTATTCGAACAATTCAAATTAACACATTTCTATTTTTGCAAGAATCATGTAGACTCCATATACACAGCATTCATCTAAAAAAGAGCGTTATGTTGATAATGATTTGAATATCTAATATATATATATATATATATATATATGCACGAAATTTGTACCAGGTTTACGTTGTTTAGTATTCTCAAATTTTGTCATTTTTAAAATTCATATTCATAGCGGAAAATTCGATAAAAATATAGAACATAATAATGTGAAAAGATATACTGAAAATAAGAATTTTCGTGTTTTATTTTTGAAAATATTATTTGAACTGTTACTAATAATGAAATCATTCTTTGTAGATAGCTGTTGTGGATAATATACAATTCTTAAATATTTATTTAACTATAATGCGAACATATGTTTACATATATTTTTAAAGATTTATTTAACAGTGAAAAATATTTATAATGATATATATAACATCACCGTTTCTAAGTGTTTTG